GGCGCAGTGCGGTGCGGCGGGGCGCGGCGGGGCGCGGTGCGGCGGGACACGGCGAGCGCGGCTGCGTCCTGCGCCGGCCTATTTCTTTACGAGGTCGTAAATGAGTCGTCAAGCTGCGACCGAAGCATTTATGGCTGTTCATTGACGCCCGTCTGAACCGAGGTCTGAGCAGCACTGAACAGCACTGAATAGTCTGAACAGGACCGGGCCGGACGGACGCACGGGGGCACGCGAGAGCCGCACTCCACCAATATATGGGATAGCTGCTACTGCGTTTCAACCAAGCTGCTGCTTCTACTGGCGAACTTTAAACTTTACGCTTAAACTACTTTACGCTTTCACTGTTGAACTTACAACTTTACGAGAGTACAAGCTGATGATAACTGCGTATCATCTGCTAAAAATTCTCACTAATTAAAGGCCATGCATGCGCTTTCCTGACTGACGTTAAAATCCCGACAGACTGTGAAGATTGCTCTTCGCCTTGATATGGCACTGCATATATAGTGGTGATGTCAACGTAGTTTTCTACAGTGCCCTTCTTGTTTTCCCTCTGCCTATTAAACTCGTTGCGGTTCTAGGCCCACGTCAGCCATTATCTCAGGAGTTGCCTTATCTTTCCAAAACAAGGTATTTGCGACACAAAGGGTTTATTATCGCCCGGGCGGATTAATGCGTCGAATTTTTTTTTCCTTCTCTTTCGGTCGCTGACCAGATGCTGAGGGAATGCCCGCCGTTCCATCGGCATCCCCTCCGGAGTGGTTGCGGCGGGGAGAGCGTCCCACCGTGTGCAACGACACCACCGGCAGCCGGCCGGGGGAACGACCACATGGTGCTGCTGTTGGTGGTGGGGAGCGGCCATACCCCTCTTCGCGGCTTAGGGGCGCGGGGTATCGCCAGAGAAGAGCACGGGGTCTCTGCGAGATAGTATACAGAATTCGCATTTCAGCCGTGTGTCAGTGGCTGAGGGATCGTTCAGGAAGAACGTCCGCTCTTCTCAGATTCGATGGGAAAATTACGGGAGCACGGCGCCTGTGAGACTCGGGGTAGGCCACCCAGAAGTGCACGCGTGCACTGCAGGCAAGATGTTGCCTACCTATCAGGAGCCATAGGGGCTGGAATTGGCTGAACTGGGCAGTTTAGGAACGACAGATCAAATGGCGGACGTACTCTATGAACACTCTAAATGTCAAGGACAATTTTTGTAACTAGCACCGGACTTCTGCGTGCATAACTGAATTCAGAAACAATATTGTGACTTGCTAGTCACTAAATGTGTGTTGGTAGTTACAATATTGTATCTGAGCTAGTTATGCACACAGAAGTCCGGTGCTAGTTACAAAAATTGTCCTTGGACATTTAGAGTGAACGCTCCCTTCGTTGACATAGTAACGGGTAATTGCTGTAGGCCGCGACAGATCTGCAAGCTGTACGAAAATTTTAGAAAGACTAATTATAAGCGTTTTAGAAATGGAACGATAATATTATAATTCGCAAAATAATTTGTAAGACAAATCACATATGCGTAGCAAAACACAAATTTTATCTGACCAGGTACAAGTGTATTGTTATCAACGTAATATTTTTTTTTCCTGTGGAAGACCAATAGATCCCACCACGCACTGACGGAGGATCGAAGCATTACGAAAATGGCGCGCTTTTCAAGAAGTGAACTGAATTTCTCATAGAAAGTACAACAGCACGAAGATAAAAGTATTCCAGATGTATTCTACTTCAAAGTAGAAATCTCGCCGGTTCCAATGTCCGACAATCACTAAGAGTTATCATAATGATCGATTAAAATTGTTATCGAGCCATATTATTGTCTGAAAACGTGTGAAAAGTCTAATGTTTATGTGTACTTTTGCCTTTCCGTGTGGTTGGCAATCCCGGAACACCCAAGATGGCCGCTCTGTGACGTCACCGTGCATGAGACGCCAGCTCAAAATATAAATTAATCAAATTTTGTATGTGTGCGTGTAAAGGAAAAAGTTTTTTGATCAAACCTTTTTAAATTTTATAAAACCCGATTCTCTTCTTCGCCACCTTAATCCTTTCGCTACATTTCGTTATTGAAAAATTAAATGTACCCCCTACCTCCTCGGTGGGCGGAGCCTAGCGGGCAGACCTACTCGCTAAAAATCAGTGTTCTGCGCATCCCAACTCTGCGCTTTTCTCTGAAAATATAAAATTTTCCGGGCTTTCCGCCGTCGGGGGATGTTGTTGGGACATTTCTCGATCCACCTGGACCGTTTGCGGTGCTTTTCTTGGCGCGCGCGCCTCAAACATTGCCGCAGCGCCTCGCCCGGCCGCGACCCGAGCCTGGCGCGTCATGCGCAGGGCGGCCTCAGTTCGTGGCGCGTCTCAGGACTGGTCGGGCCTACTGGAAACAGACGCGCAAACTCGCGCGCTCATTGGCTGCATTTGAAAAGCTCGCTTCCCTAAATGGCACTTCGCCTCCAGGTTTTATGGCGTTGAGACAGGCGAGTGCGTGCTGTGCTGCGTGAGCAAGGCGTGAGCCCGCGGCCCTCCTCCCGAAGCCCGTCCCGTCGCGCGCCCCGTTTGTCAAACCCGGTGCGGGCCCCGAGCGACGACGGGGTGTAAACACAATTAACTGGGGCCTAAGTGCTGCGCGTCCGAGCCGCGTCCGAGTGTTGTCGGGAACGAGTGCGGTGCTCCAGCGGGAGAGGCGGAGCCGACAGCCGACCGTGCTGAATGGTGTTGTGTTGTGTGTGAAGTGAGGTTAAGTGAGGTTAGGGATGGACGACCAGCGAGCTATGATGCACGGTGTAGGCAGCCAGGTCGGCATGATGTCTCAGCCCTACGGCATGCAGGCCGTGGACCCGGGCCACGCGCCCCCGGCCACCCCGGACCAGGAAACCAGAAAGCAAGACATCGGCGAAATCCTACAACAAATCATGAACATCACGGACCAGTCCCTGGACGAGGCACAAGCAAGGTGAGATACTACTAAGTTTGCTGTCGCTGACACTCTGCAGACTGTGATTCCATGTTTTTGATGGTTCTGTGGAGGAGGGATTTGTTGGGATTAGAAGCCTGAGAGACCTTTGATGAGGGGTGGCAACTGTCACGAACCCATGACATCTTTGCAAGGATTCGTTCAAAGTGTCTTTCTCCCGTATTGTCATTCAAAGAATTAAGAAATTTATTTCCTCATGTATCTGTCATGCTGTCATTTATTATTGTGATTGAGAAGTTCTTGATTCTGTTCTTACGTTGCACATTTGATTCCTAATTGTGTCAGACAGAACATTTATTCAACTATCGGTGCTAGTGGACGTAAAATTTACAGTAGAGACCTGTCGACAATCTTCTGTGTTTTTTAAAGTCAGCTGTTTTTAGGGAAGTGTCAGAACCATTATGTTGTTGGTTTGTTTACATGCTGTCACTTTTGTTTACATGTTGTCAAGTCATTATTAATTGAAATTCTTGGATGGTTTATATTAAACAATATTTTGTTTGCAAATTATTGCAGTTATATTGTTCTAATTCGGATCATTTTTTAAAATTGCTTGTTTAATTAAGCATTGTGCATATAATAACTTAAATCATTTAAAGGCAGCATTTAGCCATCAGATTGAAAAGCAAACAATTTTTAAAGGCCGATTAATCATTTATAGTGATGTAAATCAACCTTATTCTTCATTCCTTGCTTGTGGCAATCTTAACCATCTGTAATTTTATGTGGTAACAAATTAATTAATGAGTGAAGCTGATCGGTTGACTTCTCTATACTGTGGGAGTATTCTGTCCCCTGTGTTTCTATAGTTATCAGCAATATAATTTAAACTCTGGAGAAGTTATGACAAATTCTTGTGAGAAGTATACTTGATTGTCGCCTGTCCGTCTGAAATCCAAATGAAGCCATTCTCGACCGCTCCATTTCCGAAAACTTTACCGTGCGTGTTTTCGCCTGCGGGAAAGTTATGACAAATTCTTGAGAGACACACATGCCTGTTGGTGTGAAATCCAATGGAGCCATTCTCGACCGACTCCATTTCCGAAAACTTTACCGAGGGCGTTCGCGCCTGCGAATTCCTGGAACTCCTTACTAATTGCCTGGCTCCAGTGCGTCCCAGCCTGGAGCCCCCGTCCTTTCTAAAACGAGTGGCAGTGTCACCTGGAAATTCCCGAGTAGTAGAGGGTTGGGTTCCGCGGGGTCCCGTCGAGCCATGTGCGATATAATTGAACTGGAATGATCTGCCGACGTCTTTCCTTCCCTCGTCCAACAGTGGCTTCGAGTGTTGCCACTGGTGTAACGCGCGTTGTTCTACGCGTCGTGTGTACATTGTCAGCTGATTGTCAACGCAAACATGCCGGGGCAGGGCCGGGCAGGGCCGGGCAGGGCAGGTGTTATCGGGGTAAATAGTGTCAGCCCAAACAGGCCGGAGTTTGTATGGAGGAGATAGGCCCTTGTGGAGGGGGCCGTTCCAAAACGCTATCGAGGTGATGTCGAATCAATGGCTTCCAACAGAAGGGGTTGCTTGCCGATGCCTTCTCATACTGCACCCTGCGCACATCTGAAACCCACATCCGCCCTTTTAGGACGCTTTAGAAATGTGTTCGCGGCATTCAAATAAGTAGCGCCCATCGCAAAGTGTGCTGAGAAGAGACCGCAAGTGTTGAACGCACGGTTACAGTCGAGGGAAAGGGGTATTAGAAGTATGTACAAATTCGAACACATTTATGATAAAATTCTGAAAAGTTCTGCGTGAAATAGCGCCCAGGCTTATATATGTTTAAAATATTACAAGTTTCTGCTCAACTTCTGTTATTCAATCAATGTTATGTCACATTAGTTTTCATGTAAAAACTGCCACATGGTGTTAATACAAGATGTCACATTGGTCTTAACGTGAGTCGCCCACGCTCAGCATCGTAAATTCCACAGACAGTATAATGTGACAGTTTTCACAGGTAAAGGAATATGACGTCACACGCATTGAACAACAGTGATGAATGCAACGGTCTGGAGTGTGGATGTGATTCAAACTGGCAGGAAGAATGACTGCACACCGACTGCACAAAGTACGGTGACAAGACAAGTTTTCGGTGTAAGAGGCTTGTCTGGCGGTCGATGGACTGTGGACATTCAATGCAATTGTCGATGACGCCCACCTTTACTGTGCAGTCTTGTGTTTGTTTTGTCAACCACGATACGATGCCAGTGATCGAATGCCACGCACTACTTTCTTGGCCGGCGGGCCGTGTGTAGGGTGTCGAGTTCCGCGCGGCGGTAACCCAGTTTGGTTTCTTTTGGGTTGTTAGGCCCCCCCAGGAAGGGCCGCGTGGGGTGGGTCGCGGATAACTAAGTACTCGACTGTCACACCCTCGATTAGCCGACCCGCGGGGCCCCCCTCAGGGGCTGCCAACCTTCACCCCGCCGCCCCGCGGGGCCCCCTTAGGGGCCGCCAACGCCGCCGCGGGTCAGTAAACTTTTACGGCCGCATCCCAAGGCCACCGCGTTGGGCCCTTAGGGTGGCGTGGCGTGGCCGCCAGCCCCCGCCAACCCCCACGGACAGGCAGCACTGCCTGCGTGAGATTTGCATGCGATACTTATTGGGCGTAGCTCAATCAAATGTACACTAAATGGCCGGGAACGATTTTTGTGCGTATGTGTCTTCGTGCACATCTATAAATCAAATACAAATGTGTAGTTACGTGTACATACAAAACAATGCATTTTCACCTACACTCTTAGTTCCTTACAAACAGCGGGGATCGTATTTCGAAGAATTTGTTTGTAACTTACAGATCTCAAGCAGCCATATTACGATTTTCCTTCGTAGTACGAACACCCCCATTCGTAATACGAAAAGCCTCGTTTGTAATACAAACCAGGCTCTTCGTAATACGAACAGTTTGTTTGTAATACAAATGCTCCAAATCATTTGTACGTTACGTTACGGTGTGCGCAAAGACACATCCCTAGATACAAAAATTGTTCATCCCCATTTAGTGTGTAACTGGGATAAAGCATCTACTAATTTATTGGAAAAATACTGTCTCAAAGTTGCGACTTTTTCTTGTGTGTTTAGTCCTCATCAGATTGTCCGGCGCGTGTACTCGGCTGTGTTTTAATTTCCGCGCTCTCCCCTTGTGAGCCTTGCGGCGCCTTGCGGGGGCTCGTCGGTCGGAATGGCGGCGGATCGCGCCGTTTCTGCTGTCCGATTTGTCTCCCGTTTGCCGCGCGACACCGAGCCAAGATTGAAAGCCGACTGACTGATGGGGTTTTTGCCGGATCAAATGGCTGTCGGGTGTCGGGGGAGCGCCGCGCAAGCTGGTCTGGGGGGTTGCCTTGTCGGGCAGGTTCTACTCGCCGTTGCGCACTCGAATTGGTAGGGATGCAAACTTTATGCGATTGTATAATTTCAGAAGTTTCTAAATCGCTTCGAAATGACAATTAAGTATCGATGGTCGGGGTATGACGCTACACTCGACCGTTTAAGCTCAGACGATAATGTGCGTACCCAAACCATAGATACTTTGTCATTTTGAAGCGATTTAGAAACCTCTGAAATTGTGCGATCGCATGAAGTTTACCTACGAATTGGGATGGGACGATTTTTGTACCTTTAAAGTTGCACAAGGGCAGGTGACAAGTAAGACTGCCCGGTCGTGGGGAGCGATCCTTATCCGAATCTTGCATGGCACCAAAAAGTAAATGTTAGTTAATGTTAAGATTAAGGGCGTGAAGTTCCCTGTCTAATTTTGTTCCCTCTGTCATTTTGCAGAAAACACACGCTAAATTGTCATCGGATGAAGCCAGCACTTTTCAGCGTCCTGTGTGAAATCAAGGAAAAGACAGGTGAGTTTTCTCCCCGTTCAATATCGCTGTTATGATTGGCGGCCAAAGCAGTTCGTGGCTGCCAAATGGCCGCTGGACGCTTTGATTCCAAATGTGTTTTATTTTTGTATTTTTTTACCCCTCTTGCGAGGCTGGAATGGATGGTGTAATCACCATGTGATTGACAGCCCTCGCTTTTGCAGCTGCTGTTGCCGCTGCTGCACCAACCACATTTTCATTCGTTTCTCTTATTTTTATTTGCCTCGTCCGCCCCCGCGCCCCGCCCACAATCCACCTCCTACTCTGCTATATTTTTCCTCTCCGTTTTCTTATTTCTGCCGCTCGCTATGGACACCCTTGGGAATGCCGTTTCCGGTTTTCGGAGAGGGTTCGAACCTTTCGCTTTTTGGTCGGTCCCCGTCCTTGTGTGGCGGCAGCCAAGTGCCTTACTGAGCGGGGGCGGGCGGGGGGCGGA